TGAGTCATAAAGTAGCACTCTAAACTATAAAATAGTACTCACATATAACTATCTGTTGGATCAACACGTGCTTCGAATTGAAACACATCTTCGTCCAACGAAGATCACTTGATAAATTTTTTAAATTATCTGTATGGGTTCTTGTTTTTGACGCTCGTCGAGCCGTTGAGATTGCAACGATAAAACACGTCTACCTCGGATTGAGGTTTCGGATCAGGCGAAATCAAGGCGAGATACGAGAGTAGTTAAGATCAAGGCCGGGCCTGACGAATTCTGGTGGGTCAATTACGAAATCGAGCAAGCCCGTTTTTCGTTACTAGAAATTGGAACGACGCGTACGCGGCCCGCATCTGAGAGGAGAGGCGACATGCTTTAAACGTTCTGACCGAGAAAACGACGACTGCATTCTTCTGGCGCTTGTAGGTCGGCGTAGCGAGAAAGAACCTTTCCAGCTCGCTAGCACCGCGAAATTCTCTCTGTTCGTGGCCTAACGCCTGTAATGGCTTCTCAAGATCCGTCCACTTGGGACCATTTATTGTCACTGACGTTTGACGAGTTTATTATATACCTGAAATCGATCGAGCCGAAGACAGTTTAACATTGGAACAAAATTCTCTGTTAAAATTCTCCTTTCAAATTTTTCATTACAACTATTCAAAATACGTATATACTTCTTTACAGTTGCATTTTAAGAATCATGCGAAAAAAATTATATCTTGTATATCGTTTTACGTAAAATTATCTTTTCATCGATCACATCATAATTACTGAGACGTCCCGTATAGTATTATAATTATTTATCGAATATAATTTCGTTGTTGTAATATTCTACGGCATTTGGTTTATCACGTTATCATTTACAAAATCGGTAAAATATTGAACGTACTTGGATGGTGTATTTGATAAACACTCCTTAAATTTTAATTTAATGGCGAAATTTTAGTCAGATTGAAGAAGACGTCTTATAAATAATGGCCTGAGTGTCTAAAAGTGAAAAATTGTAACTGCTTCTGCCATTGACTGTACAACCTTCTGGAAAACTTGGATTTACGTCCCATTGTCTTTATTGAATTTACAACGAATCAGTGTACGCGATCGTCTTGATAAATAACAATCGTTTTCAGCTACGTAAACTTACTTAATCTTTTTAACCTTTAATTAGAAGCAAAAAGGGAAACCGCAAAATACAAATGCTTGAAACTAGTCCTTAAGGCACTTACCACCAGTGCGAAAATGTACATTTCACGACTACTCTTTTTTAATAAAGTAATAAACTCAATACAATTAATAACAGACTAAACTCGTAATGAATTCACAACTTATAAAAAAAGAAGATGAAAGAACATTTACTCGTTGGTAAATAAAAAAAGCATTAAAATACCTACATACTACTAATTATAAGTTGATTAATAACAAGTTGCAAACTTCTCTTTCAAATTTTACAATTTCACGTCAAACAGGATAAAATTAACTGTGCAACAGTTGTGTAATTTGTAAAATTTGTTGAAAAAATTTTATTCATCGCGTGCAACAGAATTTACTAGTACTGATAATTTATGACTCGAGACTTGTAAAATTCTGCTAACAATATTAATTTAAATAATTGTACAAAAAAAAAATCCAAACGTTTCAACACATGGATATAGTTGTCTTCTGCATGACCAGAAAATTCTCAAAACTTTAAACGTTTCAAAAAGCCATCTGTTACGAATATTGCACAAAGAGATGGCGATAAAACGACAAATTGTTCGCGAACTGTTCACGTGAAGCGAGAACGTACCTTCACAATTCGAACGAACAAAACTCGAACAATCTCCGTCGATCATGAAAGCCAGGCGGCAGTTAATCACACGGTAGCAAGAAAGCTAGTTGAGAAACAATGAAATAACAGTGATCGGCGATTAGTTGGTTCGTTCGATCGATCGCGATACGTCGCGAACGTAGCGGAAAAGATGAAGATGTATATTCTCACGGTTATCCAACATTGAAACGAGGGAGTTCCGTTATTTTCCAGGTTGGAGAAAAGAAAGGACGTGACACGATACGTGAGAGGGAAAATCGCACAGTAACCTCGTGAAATACCAACTGGCTAACAATCGGTGTGCTCGAGGCGACGCGACGCTTGCATTCCGATGCAGTCTTTCTTTCGTCGCATCGTTTCCATTCCGAGATGATTGTAACGTTACAATTGGGAACGTTTCGTTTCGAAGAAGAATCTTTCGATTTCGCTCATAACGATTCAGTTTACGTTAAATTCAAACGAAATGTTCGTTTGCTAAGAATTAAAACTCTTAGGAAATGAAAGAGTGTGAAGAGCTCCGATTTATTCGTCATAACTGTAGTTTGATAAATGATATACGTATAAATTAAGTGGATCGTTTTGAAGATAATTTAAAAATGTAATCTGAAGATCTAACGTTCCGGAGGATCTCAGATTTCAAAAGCTTCCCGGTGTCTAAGAATTCAAAGAGATGAGGATTCAAAGAGCTAGAGATCACAGAACTGAGAACTGGAAGATAACTATAATAGGATCGATGATTTACCAGAGATTATCGATGATTGCGACGACACACTGAGTCTGTATATTCAATTAATTTCCAGCGTATCGAGGGAAATCGTTTACACCCACGTGCCGCGAGGGCAATCAATGGATGTCGCAATTAAATTCCGATATCTCGGTCGCATAAATCTATGGAAAATGCGCGTGTGCTTATTTCACCGTGCATCTTGTTAACATTGAATCTTCTCTAAATCTTCGATCAAAACACAAATATATAGAAATATAAAAATAAATCTCAGGATTTCTTGAATTTTTGTCGTTTTTAACGTTACAAAATGGAGACCTCAGTCTTCAAAATGATGACAGAAAACAATTTCTTATTGCTTTTATATACGTTTATATACGAATTTCTACAATTTTCGAGAAGAAAGTATTCTCACTTTCCCACCCGTCAGGTGATGTAAATTCATTTTTGAAAAATACGAACTTGCGACTGTCAAATTAGAGGCTTTATGCTTTAAAATGAGATCAAATGGACTCTTGTGTGATTTCTTTTCACAAAGTTATATCAATTTAAGTTATCGACAATTTTTCACTATTATCGCTACAATTACGCTCTTCACTGCACATGCGGTGACCAAATTCGCGATTAAAGTTAAATGTTGTTACAAATACAATCTGCTTTCGTCATATTTCGATCCACAATTCCCATCATAAAGTTCAAAATTTAACTTTGTTCAACTCGTAGCTTCTCTAAATTAATAAAAATTACCTCGCATCGTCTACGTTTTCTTCCTAAACATCTTATATTTTACCCAATCGTAAATTATTGTTACTTCGATTGACCGTACTTTCCTTCGTGCCTCGACAATATATCTTCGATGTGCGGGATCTATGAGCAAACGTGCAATCGTCGTTCAAGCGTTTCCTCTTCCACTGACTCCGGGGAATGCACACGATGGAATGCTCACGAGCCAAGGCGACAAACACCGTTAAGAATCGCCGCGAGTTTGCCGGTAGTCGGTCTGAAAATCTCGCATAAGCGAAAGTAGAGAAAGCTGTGTATCTCGTGGCAAGGCCGTCTCTGGCTCGGACTCCTTCGACGTGGAGGATGCCGGCCGGATCACGCAGGAATGCTCGTTAGCATTCTTCCGCGCTGTTTCTGGAGACCCGTACAATTGGGAATATAAATAGAAACGTGTAAATAGAGCTGCACGAAATTGTACACGATTCTGCAGTGGTATTTAACATTTTCAACTTGACGTACGCGCATCCTGTTTGAAAAATGACAAAGTTTCGATTGGTTCACGAGTGAATTTTAGAAACTTCTCGATATTTGTTGCCAAGTCTGCAAAATTATTAGACAACGCTTGCACGTAGTAACTCGAAAGAAAATAAATTTCGTTATTCCTTTCAAAAGGACTCGATCTTCGAGATGCTTAAAATCCGCTCGCCTTGGAGAAGTAGCAGCACGAATATTTAAAAATTCCTACGAAAGTGAAAAGTTCGAAGCTGGTTTCTCGGGAGAGGCACAGAGGTCCAAAGATTCTCGAGTTCGGCTTTTCGATCAGAGTAGACGATCTCCTTGACATTTCAATTTCGACCCGATTTCTCCGTTGATTCGCGGCGATATCTTATCTGATCGATTAATGATGCTCGTATTCTTCACCGGCACAATGGCGGCGTCTACTTGACATTGAAACACCACGTTCCATCCCATTAATCTCGGTCTCTTCGATGAAGATTGAGAATCCTCCGTCGACATTGATTCCTAATAGAACCTCTCGGATGGTTAACTCAATAATTAATTTTCTTCGGGCGACGAATCGTCGGACCAAAGGCGCCAGAGCTTTCGAATCGCCATACGTCAACGACAAATCTCACAAGTCAACGACAGCGATACCAGAAATTCCACGTCACGGGCTTTTGGCTGTCGTTGGTACGGCGCACCTTTGAAGAAATGGTACCCGGTGAAATTGACTGCTACTAGGTCAGTGGGTGATAGAAGTCGAATACTCTTGCCTCGATAGTTGCTCCTCCTATCCGTGTAAACACCGTGACCACTAATTGAAATTCTCCTTCAATTTCAGGCGAGAATTTACGACTGAATTTTCTCGGTTGCACGACGTTTCACTTGTCTTCATTTATTATAATCGATACGCGAATTTAATCTTACGCGGGATTAGAGATTTCAATGAAACCTAGGAAAAGTGTGCTGAATTCGTGAAATCTGAAAGTTTTGCGTTTGATTTCACTATCTACGTGTATGATACTTCGAGAGATCTTGACATAAAGAAATTATCATCGGAATGACATATCAACTCGTCTCCTCCAGATTGTAGAATAAGAAAGCTAAACTTCAGAATATTTTTTTTTTTTTTTATAAATATCTTTCAAGTGAAAGCAAGTTTTCCAAGAATCAACTTGATAACACGAGTTAGAGAATTATCGATAAATTAATAATAAATCCTGTGATATGAAATAGAAAAAAAAAAAAAATTCCTTCGAGCCGGATTCGAACCAGCGACCTATGGATGACTTCAATGTACGTATATATCCTCTACAGTCCACCGCTCTACCAACTGAGCTATCGAAGGTTCGTGACTGAATGCTCTTAAATAATTGTTATATAGTCCACATACTACATATTAACAAATTTAATTAATTCAACAACAAAAATATAACATTAAAAATTATATAATAGTATATAAGTCTAAAATTATACAATAGTATATATCATTTACTATATAACAACGTGTAAAGTTCAAAAAAATATAAAAATTGTAGTATTTTCCAGAAGAATAATATTCGAGTAAATTGAATTGACAACCTAATCATTCCTTCTAGCCAAATTTGAAACAAACAATCCATCGATGTCCCTTTTCGTTACATCGTGAACCAATTACAGCCAGGATTATAACTTTTGTAATATTTAAATACAAATTTCAAGATTATAATTTAAATGAATATTTTTGCAAAAGCCGAATTTAAACCAGCGATCTATGGATATCCTTGAATTTTTTGAAATAACAGCGCTCTACCAACGGTAGAGTTATCGAAGGCCCATAATCATCGCCTCCTCCGTATATCTATAATTCAAACCGTTTGCTACCGAAGCGTCAAAGAGAAAGGAACTTCATAGTGTTCGACAAGGTAAAAACCCCCTTCGAGCCGGATTTGACCTATGAATGTATTTTTAAGACGTTGCATACTGTACTATGCTGATTATTTTCATTTGAATGTTACGTAGAAAGAACGTGATAGGTTCGTGCGGTGACTAGAAAAGAGTATACCAGTACGAGATGACAAAAACGAAGGAACATGTTCTATGTCTTAGAAGATACGTGAGACACAGAATGATTTACAAAGACCAGAGGGATAATCGAGCCTCTCAGAAGTTAAATCGACCTGGTTTCTTTTTTTCTTTTTCGCATGAAATTTTCCATTTGTCAAATTTCTCCCTTCCTCTCCACTCAGCGGAAAACGGGGAGAAAACTATAATACGTCGATTTCTCGCATCGACTTTCGCAATTAACGAGCGACGAAAAATCACGACCGAATCGGTATTATTCAACGTGGTCGTTGAGTGTCACTCGGTGTATGCTCGAAACGTGGTGACCGGCGGAAATCGGCAGCAGACCCGTTAACGTCGTTTCTTCGACGCGTTCCGGTGCAGGACGCGTTTAATGGAACTGCGACGACGTAACGCATAATAATAAACCAGGTATTCAGCTACCGGCGTTACGGTATCGTTACGGCTGGTCGAGCAAAAATCCCCTCCCTCAGATCCGATTCCCTTCGATTCGCGGCTCAACGAGAAATAAACCGCTGAAAACGACGGTGATCGACGGCAAGAGGAAAAAATTCACTCAATGGAAAGTGATTATGCAGATCGACGTTTTCCACCATATTGAAAATCTCTCGATCGAACCGATACTCAATGACATTTGCGTACGTAAATCGTACGTGCGTGTTTCCTACGGTTGACAGCCACGAGGATAGCAAACGTTGCCATCACGGTTTTCATTTCGCTCGATCGTTTACGATCATTGTGCCGTCACGGTTGAATTATCGGGCAGCATTGGAATTAGGAATTCATAGCGTTTCCGTGGGAAGTAAATAAATTCTGTTACACACGAGTACGCGCGATTGAAATTTAGCAGAATAACGCCAAACAGGATTTATCAGAACTCAAAAATTTTGGAAACACCTGTCGTGCATATGTGATTTAACTAGATAATGACTATCTTTCATTTTTCACATTTTAATAGTGCGTATGTATAACACGCCCTCTTGTATGTATGATGATTACATCGACTAATTGGTAAATTGATATGTATCAAATTGTTAGTTGCGCAGTACCAAAATTTCAGTAATCCTCTTAACCACATAATTAGAATCAAACATAGTTCCACCGAATATCAAGGTTTATTAATTTGATGAATAATTACAGTTGGTCGGGCTCGTTACAGTACCAACGAAATTTCATATTGAACGTTTCACGAAACGTATAGAGTGTGAATTATAAAATTGTGCTGTGATAAATGTTCAAATTTCGTGAGTCAACCAACAACCTTACTTACAATTACCTTACACCTCGCTGGGTCACCTCCTCCAAGTATGCATTTGCAATTTTTTCCACGTGAAATTATTAAAAGTAACCGGTATCAAGATATCCTTCTGTCTCTATGAGGTGAACGAGTTTCACGAGAAGAAAAGGAAAACAACGAACGAATCGTGTGTCCTTCGATCCCGAATCGGCCGTAGGATCATCGAGACGAGAGTCGTCGACCCCGGGAGGAGGGAGCTCATCGTGCGTAAGATCCCTGAGCTGGCCCGTGAAACGAAAAACCTTCTGACCCATTTACAAGTATCGTTCACCGGAATCGACCGCTCGAATTCACGTTGCATTGTCCTCGAGGTATGCACCACGCCTCTTCGTAGCGCGCACGCGCATTCCATCGCCTCCGTTCGCAACTGAGAGCCCGACAAATTGAATTAATTAAATTGAAATTAAATAATGTAATTAAGCTCGATATGTACTCGCACAGCTAGATAAAATTCAGTAATCAACGATCGCTTTAAACGTGGGCAAACCTCGAAGATCGCGTGATCGATCGAATAAGGTCTCGTCCTCGAGAGGTACCTTCACTGTCAGGATCATGGGAGACGCGAAAAGAGGGACAAGGCGGCCAGTTGGTTGATTCTAAGTGTCTTTTTTGTTTCGCCGCGAATTTCACGCCCAACGAAGACAGTGAAAGGAATTGAAGTTGTCGCGGGAAATGGTGTAATTGCGTTTTTACAGGCGCGAAGCATTTCAAGTACGCAGTGCTACGAACGAAACTGACTGAGAAGACCATTGATGAAACCTGAGATATAAAATAACAGCGAAAGCATAAAATTTAACAAGTACGTTGAAAAGTGATGCACGAATTTTTAATTATAATTTTAAGTTTAGAGCATATTTCGATTATAGAGAGAAAAGGGAGGATGGAAAATGATTTCTTGAGCTTACGTTTCGAAGATTCGGAGAGTGTCACTTTCAACTTTCAACTCTTCTCCGTAATGGCCGTTCGTGTGGCGAGCATCTTTTTATATTCTTTTCTTCTGCACGCTGTCGAAGGTGTAACGGGATACCCACGTGCGTTACGACACCTTCGCGTCATTATCCGCAGAGGAATCTCAGTCCCTACACATAATTTTCTAATTCCTATAAATTGGATAACCGATCGGAAGATGAGTTGCGTAATTTCGAGGATCGTTTATTGGCGTGAAAGTTTCTAAACGGAAGTTTTCTTCGCTTTTTATCTTCGTGGATGTTTCATTATTTAATACCTACGTTAATAAATTACACGTGCAACCTTTCTTTAGTTACAAATCAGAGACATTTCACACGTTCTAGTCAATATCAGCAAATTTAACACGCAATTTGATATTTGGAGATTTCTATAAATCGTGATTTGTAAAATGTAAATGTAAGTTTTAACCGTCGAAATATGACGCAGAAACTGATGGCGTAATTATTACATGGAATACATTTATATAACTGATGTGTGATGCCAACGAAATTAAATATAAAGTATAAGAATAAACATTCAAATATTTTCGAAGGAAGGATTTCATTATCGAGCGTGACTCGAATTTACAACCACTTTCACTGGATGCACGAAATGTAACCTCGCTGATAACGAGGAGAACAAGGCTAAGAAGGCACGGTCGTACAAAAAGTTATCGCATGCTCGTACGTAATTATAGCAGGTTAATTATGCGACCTCGCTACGACACGGACAACACTTTCACTAGAAACTAACTGGTTCGGTTTCTGTTGCATTTAAAATGCACTTGACGTGCTTTCTGTGTTTTGAAGATCGAACTTTAGGATCAGAAACTTTTAAATTGCACAAGTAGACGTAGTAGAATCTTCCATCGAATCCTTGATCCGAGGCGAGACTTTCTTTCACGAACATTTTGGTCCATCGATTTCTTACATTTTTACCAGAACGACTTGTCGATTATATTTATCAATTGTATATAACCTGGAATAAAATGTTTGTGAAGAAAAGATAAATAAAAAAATAATTTATCTTTATGACGATTCTTTTTCATTAGATCTCAGAAATACAAGAGCATCTCTGTATATTCAAAATAAATTTCACGATCGCGGGTTATTTTTTCCTTTCTTTTCGAGAAACTTCAAAAAATAATCTTTCGCGCAAAAAGCAATTTATCATCGGTTTGTCTGCAATTCTTTAAAGAGCAGCACGGTTGGCGAGATCGTGGCGTTTACGAGGGGATCCCCCATGGCTCTGGCCCCCGTGGAGGCAGCGTGTAACGGAACACGTTGCAAAATCGCGGGGTCATTCTCATGTTTTACGCGTACGATTAAATCCCTGGACGGATAATTCCGCGGCGACGCGCATATCCTGCCGCCTCGGCCCTGGATTACGTGACGTTTGACAGCGAAAGTTAACCGCGAGTGCCCCAGGGTGCCGTGCCATACGAAAACTCCCATCTCTCGACCTCTTCGCGGGATGAACCATTCAGATAGATCGGGAACATTAAACGACCACTTCATCAGATTAGAATCATTGCCTATGTTTTTCTTTTTTTTTTTATAGAAGTTTTATATTTTAATCCAACTATGTCAGAATTATTGTAAAGTATATTATAGGAAAAAATATATATTATCTCTTCCAAGATCAAATAACTTTTTCAATTAAATACATATTATTTTTGCAAAAAGACGTAATGATCAATTTATGATTTATATGATATAAGAAATTGTTTGTTCACTTTCTCGTGCTCTTTATATAGATGTAAAGAGTGTGCATAAAATGTATGAAGTACATTTAAATTACCAATTTATGTTTCCTGCATTTACTATAATTATTATTATTAGTAAATGAATTTACAAAAATACAGAGACATCTCGATAAAGAAACGAAGTTTCTCTTACTCGCGACAGAATTTTACATCTTTCGATGTTCATTCTTTACCTTGAAAGACGAGAATCGTAATCGAACGAGAACGTTCGAGGACCCCACCCTGTACAACCAGTTGCATCACACCGATGACGCTGCACGCCTAACGATATGCT